CCGCCTGGACGTGGGCGTGGGGCACGCCAACCTCTCCCAGCAACGCAACAACCTCTCCAGGGTAAGGCTGGGACCCCCTCAGACCCCTCCCCAGAGCCTCCTGGCAGAGCTTGAGGGGCTGGGGTCTGAAGGCACCTCCCGCTCTCTTCCCCCGCCCAGTGCTTCAGCTCCGTGGAGCTCTTTGCCATCCACAACCTGAGCGAGGGCTCTGCCGTGGGGCGTGGTGAGTTCAGGGAGTTCTGCCCCACCATCCTGCAGCAGCTGGAGTCGGGGGCCTGTGCCTCTGAGAACCTGGAGAACGAGGAGGATTTTCCAGGCTCCGCCGAAGGTGGGCGGGCAGGTGAGGGGGCATGGGTGGTGCCAGGCCCCGGGCAGGGGGCACCCTGGCAGCTGTGGGACAGACAGTTCCCCTGCCCAGACCCCCTTCCTGGAGCTCCTCCTGGTTCTGGGATGCAGGCAGAGAGGAGAGGAGGCAGTATGTGGTTTGTGTGTGCAGCGTGGGGCACGCCACATTTTGGGATTGCTGGAGGAGGGGAAGGGGCCTTGCTGAGAGCCCCCCCTGGGTGGGGAGCGGGCAGCTTGGCACGTTGAGAGACCTGCTGGCCACCAGCTCCTGACGATGCCCGAGCTCGTTGCTGAGGGAGGGCAAACCCAGCGCTGGCTCAGGAGAAACCTCTTCCAAGTCACACGTGGCTTCATTTCCACTCACCATGCACCCAAACTGGCAGTTTGTGTCACTATTGAAGCATCCTGAGCACAGGGAGAGACACTGGTGCCACGGGGGGCACAGACTTGGAGCCAGCCCCCCAGATCTGGGCTTTTGGGGTCCTCCCCATCCTCACCTCCCCACAGCCGAGAGCCTCGGTAATGTCTGGCCCCCGTTTCTTCTCGTTCCACAGTGTGGGGCTTTGGTTTTCTCAGTGTGTCCATGATTAACGTGGCCTCCCTGCTCGGAGTCTTCATCATCCCGTGTACCCAGAAGGCCTTTTTCAGCCGGGTCCTCACGTTTTTCATCGCCCTCTCCATCGGCACGCTGCTCTCTAACGCGCTCTTCCAGCTCATCCCAGAGGTGCGCTAGAAAGTCCCTGCCTCTCTTCTCATCTCTGAGGGCAGCTCTCTGGGCACCCTCTTCTGCCTCCACCCCGCCGAATCCAACTGACCCCCCCATCACCCGAGGCTGAGGGTCTCAGGGGCTCCGCAGGGTTGTTTATTCTCACCCCTCTGAGCACCAGGAAACCCTCTCGAGGCTGCGTCTCCTCCAGCCCCGCAGGCTCCTGGCGGTGCCCCGGGGAGGGGCCCGGAGAAGCTTTTTGCTCCTGCCCCGTGGGGCTGTGGCTGCTCCCTGAGGGATTTATCCCTCGGAGGGATGTGCTGAGCTTTGCTTCGTGCAGAGCTGCCCGGCTGAGATGCTGAGCTGGGTGGAAACACCTGCAAGGTGGAGGAAATATCGGTGTAAACTCACAGGAGAGCAGCCCGGAGAAGCACCAGCTTCTTGTTCATAAAACCAAACCCTTTAATTGCCTTTTTTTTTTCCCCCCCTTGCCCTGATTTATGAGGCTGACGTTCCCAGGAGGGTCTAGGCTTACGTGAGGGTTTCCTGGTGCTCTGATGGGACCGACGGATACATCGCAAATTAATTGTGTGGTAATTGCTCGGTTCTGGAGTTGAACGAACACGCCCGGGTTGGCCACCTAAAAACCCCCAATCTGGGGGGGCTCCGCAGAGCTGCTGGGGAGGGGATGAGCTGGAGCTGAGCTGCACATCCGTGGAATGATAGAATCATAGAATCCAGCCTTAAAACCTTGCCCTGGAGGTGCAGCTTCCCTCAGAGCAGCAAATCCTTTGCTCCGGGGCAGCAAACGTGTCGACGGGGAAACATTGAGGGGTTTTAATTTTCCCGAGGCTCCTTTTCAACTCCAGAACTGTGACGTTTCATTTGCTGAAGCCAGGCGCCTGCATCTCCTGCTCTGCCAGGAGGAGAAATGCCTCTGCCCACACTCCAGCCTCGTCCCGGGGCCGTGGGA